CCTCCTCCACAAAACCCATCACCTCCTCCACAAAACCCATCACCTCCCCACTAAACCCCACATAAGTGACCACTCTCCTGAGCCAAGAAACCAGTCTGAAGACCTACACGGGGGACACAGCCAACACAGGTGGCTTTGAGGACATCCCTGGGGACATCTCTGGGGACTTATGGCTTTTCAGAGCAGCAGCTTAATGGTTTGATGCAATAAACATGCTGAATCATGACTTCTAGCCAACAGATATGTGACAGTGTGTCTATGTGCATAAGAAGCACTGAAACAAGGCAACACAAGATGCAGCACAAGGCAGGATTGGGTGAGTCCCTATGCATGGGGGCAAGGAACAGCTGTCCCTCATGCTTCTCAGCTGGAAACCCCATTGAGAGGGGTACAAGGCATTTTATTTGCATTCTAGTCCCATGTGGTGGGTACTGATGCTATGAGCATCCCACCCCATCAATGGGGTCTTTGGAAACTCTGGAAGTAGAGCTGGTAGAAGCATGGATTGGGGTAGTTTTCTCTGCATTCGTGGGATATTCTACCATGCTACGATGCAAGGGCTGCCATTACACTTTAGGTGAAAGCACATCTATGGAGAAAGCAGATCCCTAACAGAGACACTGCCTCTAGGAAAGGCTTAATGGGTATTTTCCTGTTTATTTTTCTTCTGAAACTACGGGGCCATCCTAATTTTTACTGCAAGCTCAGCAGCCAGGCTCTCTGCATTGAGCTGCTCAGCTCCCCCTGGCCTCCAGAGCCACAGCACTACGCCAGCTCTGCCCTGCTGTGTGCACACAGAAAGGGGATGAAACCCGAGGGAATGACCCTGCTTGGTCCTACAGGCTGCCATGGGCACGGGGTGCTGGGACCACTGTTGGACTCGATGACCTCAGTGGTCTCACCCAACCTCAATGATTCCACCATCAACGGTTCTTTACATTCAAAATCAGATTCACTTTCACCACCCGACCTCACATCCAAGGCTGATGAGACTCATTCATCATGGGATTCATTCAGATGGTCCAAGGACCCTTCCTCAGCCAATTCCCCTCTCCATGCTGGATCCACCAAACAGTCACGGCAAGCTGGGGCTGAGCTGGCCAGGAACTTGCAGCTTGATGTCCCTCACACTGAATCACCACTTAAAACTGCACAAAAGATGAACTGGAGAGGCATTCAGGAACAGTAATATCTCCTGTGCACGAAGCTATCGCCCACAGAGCTTTCAATCCAGCCATGACTATCTAACATCTTTGCAGGTCTATCTCCTCCCAGCATCTTCTGGATTTGTTTTAGTCTCTTGCCAACGACTGCAGGGAAAGGACCAAGCAGATGATGCAGTGCACGCCGATGCACTGCAGAGCAATGCTTCCTGCAGGGAGGATGCAGCAGCACAGAGGGCTCACAGCCCCCATCCTACGCCACAGCACAACCCTACTGACCCCCACCTCGGGGGCTGCTGCTAGAAACATCCATTCTGCTCAGTGCAGGCACTGCAGCAATGGACACGGAGCATTATTCTCTGCTGCATTATTAATGGGCACAGCGAAAGAGAAAAGTGCATGCCCTACTTTCAGCAGAATGAAAAGCAGGCACTGATGAGGAGAGCTGAAACAAGGCGAGCAAGTCGGGAAAGCAGACTGCCTGGGAAGGAACCAGCCTAATGGAGACATACATCATTGGTTTTTTTTCTTTAAAACTGCACACAATGATTTTAAGTGCTCAGTTTGACAAGCTTGAAAGGAATTATTTCGGTATTGTCCCCCCATCTATCCAGCCATAGAAGGCACCAAGTTGTTTGACAATGATTTCCCCCTGGTGAATCCACGCTGACTACTCCTGATAACCTTTTTCTCCCCCAGTTCCTCAGAGATGGCACCCAGAACAAGCTGTTCCATCACCTTCCTAGGGATGGAGGTGAGCCTGGCTGCCTGCAGTTGCCCTTTTTGAAGACTGGTATAATGCTGGCTATCCTCCAGCCTTCAGGCACCTCTCCCGTTCTCCATGACCTCTCAAAGATGACAGAGGGTGGCTTGGCAATCACTTCTACCAGCTCAGCACATGTGGGTGCATCCCATCAGGGCCCATGGATTTGGGTGCATCATGTTCCCTTAGACAACCTCTGACCCCTCCAGGGTTTGGGATTCTCGAGGGGCAGCCTCATCAGTAAAGACTGAAGCAAAGAAGGCATTCAGAAAGCCCACCCTCAGCGGCCTGTTAGCAGGGCACTCAGCTCATTCAGCAGCAGACCCACGTTTCCCCCAGTCCTCCTTTAAGACACACCTAAAGAAGTCTTTTCTTGTTGCCCTTAACTTCCCTCAACAGATTTAATTCCAGGTGGGCTAGAGCCTTTCTTGCAGCATCCCTGTAGGCCCTGACAGCATTCTGATACTCCTCCCAAGCAGCCAGATCCCTTCTTCACATTCCATGGGCTTTTGAATTTTCCCATGAGCTCTTTGCTCATCCATGCAGACCTCCTGCCACCTTGGCCTGATTTACAGATGCACTCATCTTGACCTCGGAGGAAGTGATCCTCGAGCAATCAAGACTGGTTCCGGCCATTTCCAATTCTGTCCCTGCTGCTGTTGGATCCGGAGGCACTGTGGGACCCCAGCCCCTCCCAAAGCCCTCTCCAGGTCTCCACGTGGGGCACTCAGAAGTCTAGAGTGCTAAATCCTTTAATCCACACAGGTCCCAATGCTGTTTTCACGGGAACCATGAGGTCAACAACAGGCATCAAACACTACCAGCATCCAGCTTGGTGTTGGTGACCGTCACATGGGTACGTGGGGTACAGAAGGCTAAAGCAGATGGCACTTGAGGAGCATTTGAAAGGCAGCCTTTGAACATTACCACCACCACCAAATGTGCTTCATTTGGGGTGGGCAGGAGCAGAGGGCGCTCCCCACCTTCCTGTGGCACTCTACGACTTCACATGGAAGCCAAACAAAACCTATAAGGTTTGGGCCACCTATCCAGAGAAAGATCATCCCAGGGACATCTCTAGAAGGACCTGAGAAGAGGACTGCTGTGCTTGCATGGAACAGTTTTCTTCGTGACTGATGCTCTTCCAGCAGTAACCCTGCAAGCTCATAAGCCACAAACAGAGGATGCTCTCACACCCCTCAAAATCTCTATTAAACAGTGTCAAGGGGCAACGTTTGCATGGTTAAACTACAGAAAGAGTTTCAGATATCCGAGTAGATTAAACTTGGGTTTATGATGGCTGTTTCTCACATATTCCTAAAGGATTTTGGCCAACACATATGTCCACCACCTAGCTCTGAATGGAAGCACCTTGCTGGCTGAGGGGATGCACTCGGGAGCAGCAGTTCTGCTGCAAGCATCTCTGCAGAGGGCCTACAAAGGGCTTGACATCCCAAACTGCTTGAAAATTCATTGCTAACGAGTTGGATGCTTCCAGAATCACAGATGTTAAAAGGAAAGCTGATCCCTTCTGATCCCAACGTGGCTGATGGACGGCGTGAACCCCGACAACACGTTCATTTCTGTGGCTGGGTTATTTCCAGCCTCCTGGATGACAGCAGCTGATTCAATTTGAGCAAATGCTCTTTGTACTGACACAGATGACTGGTTTTGACTCAGCCACTGCACCGCAGCGTCTCCTGAACTCCATTCCATTTAGCACAGATGAGAACGCAGCCCGCTCCACAACGTACACACTGACGGAACATTTTTCAGAGCTGATTTTGCACCAGTTGTCTCTGAAATAAGTTCTTAATTTTCTCCTTTAGGTCATTTTCCCATCTCTGAGTGACACAGGGATGGATACTGGAAGGTGCTGAGCCTGTGCCTGTCTTCCAAAGTTGTCTACGCAGCATTTTCAGGCTTCTACACTTCAGAAAGGTCCAAACCAGGACTGCAGCCTTCTCTATGAGAGATAAGGTTGGGAGATCTGGTCTCTGTGGGGTTGGAAGCAGGACTTGTGCTCTGAGCAACCCTTGCCCCATGCTGCTGATCCGTGCACAGCAGAGTCCGTGACAGCATCCATCATCCCTATGGGACTAACCTCAAAACGTGCTGGGATCTCTTCAATGGGGAATGGGCTGCCCAGGGAGGTGGTGGGGTCTCCACCTCTGCAGGGGATCCAGAACTGTGAACGGGTGGCACTGAGGGATACAGTGAGTGGGCATGGTGGGACAGAATCATGGAATCATAGAACGCTTTGGGTTGGAAGGGACTTTGAAGATCACCCAGACCCAGCGCCCTGCTGTAGGAAAGAGCACCTCTAGCCCAGGTTGCTCACAGCCCCATCCAGCCTGGCCAGTTTTTCATCCACCAACACCCCCAAATCCTTCTCTTCAGGGCTGCTCTCAAGCCATTCTCCACCCGACCTTTATCTGTGCTTGGGATGGGCTGGGGATCTTGGGAGGTCTTTTCCAGCCTGAGTGAATCACTCTGTGATTCTGTTATGCTGAATTGTATTGATCTCAAGGTCGTTCACGTGGAGGACAGACACCCTGTGCAGGGCTGCCTGGAGGAGAGCTGGTTCTGACATTTGCCATTTCCTAGCTGATGCAATGCTTGGCCGTGCCGTGTTCACGCATCGTTAGGAGCTGGAAGATTTTTGTTCTTGGAAAATGGCCTGATAGCTTCCTGGGCTTCGGGATCTTTCTAGTCTCAAAACTATTAGAAGTATTTTTAAGGATGATAAACAGAGAAATGAAATTTATACGCCGAGAAAGCCGCCAATGCTCTCCTGATCGAGCATTGAGCCTCGTGACAAAAAGATCCTGCAAGGGGTGACAAAAACGAGCAGAGGGTTTTCAGAGAAAGAAAGTTCTGCAGAGATTAGGGGTGCTCTTCAGATTGGAGAGAGGGAGGGGGACAAAAGGCTGAGTGGCATAAAGGAGACTGGCCGGGGCTTTCGCTTCCTCTTTCACACCATGCAAATCTAAGGCAACAGACAATTATTTGCACCGCTTAAAAATAAAATAAATCAGTAACCCAAGCCTTAATTAATCCACAGAACTGCCTGCTGCAGAGGATTGCGGCCACAAAATGCAGCCAGAATCAAAGCAAGGAAGAGGCTGAGTGTCTTTAATGAAAGAGAGAATGCCCAGAGCCCGGGCTGCCAGCACAAAGGTAGGAGAAATCAAAGCCTCCGTGGTTTTGTCCTTATGAAAGCCACAGACTAACAAGGTTTGGGGCAGCTGATTCCACACCGAACAATGGCGAGGGAACTTCTGAAGGCTGATTCCATTTTCGGAGAGGAGAGCACTGCCCTGGCAGCAGGGGATGCTCAGCTCTCCCCACTTTCCTCCTGGCCCCCTGAGCCCACTGGTGAGCAAGTCCCCACTGTCACCATCCCACTCCCAAATACTGATGACTCGGAGAACCTTCAGCACAACTCCCTCCTCCTGGGTGTCCTGGGGGATACGATGGCCTTCAGGACAATTCCTTGTTGCCCTGTTTTTTTCTCCATTCAATCTGTCACAGATACTTCTGTATTATTTTTGTTGTGGGTGCAAGCAGCTCATTTGCTAAGGAAAAGGAAGTTTATCCTTCAGCCCACCCCAGGACTTTACCAAAACACTTTTTCATATTGGGTATTTCTCATTTCTCAGCTTATTCCTGCTATTTAGCAATAACCTAGGCTGAAAAAGCAATCCCACAAAGCATCATCTCTGATGTCTTCTGTGAAGAAGGGAGGGGGAGAGGAGAGAGGAGGAGAGAGGAGGAGAGGAGAGGAGAGGAGAGGAGAGGAGAGGAGAGGAGAGGAGAGGAGAGGAGAGGAGAGGAGAGGAGAGGAGAGGAGAGGAGAGGAGAGGAGAGGAGAGGAGAGGAGAGGTTCCCCTCTCGTTTGGGTGCTCCTTGGCCACCTCCTTGAACTGCAGTCTTACACTCAGTAAACATTTAGGTGCTATATTAAGGGACATGGCTTAGTGGGAAAATATTGGTGGTAGGTCAACAATTGAGCAGGATGATTTTGGAGTTCTTTTGGTGATTCTGTGAGTCTATCATTCTATGATTCAGCCTCAGGGAACAAGAAGCTATCCACCTGGCTCCACCACTGACTGCTATTTGTGTCTGTAACAACTTATATTTGGGGTTTGAGCAAACCTATGGTGACAACAAAGCCCCCAGTTTGACGTCTCACCTTCTGTTTTTCCAGACTTGTTTGGAAAGGTAAACATGCTGCTTTTAGCCTGCCTGCTCTGCGCACACTGCTGCTCTCCACACACTCGTGTGTTTTTACAATCTGCAGGCCAACGTTTTCTATTTACATCCCATTCTGAGCACAGAGGATGCTGCCCACCTCTGACAGGACAGACTCCCATACAGGTGTGGGGTTGTTTTATTTTCTGTACAGCTCTTCTCACCTCACTATTTCTGCATTAGATCTTCCAGGAGGATTTACGAGTGGCCGGCACCTCATGGGGAGCAAAGCCCTGCTTCCAGAAACACTGCTCATGTCAAAGCCCAGACACTGTGAAAGCTCTGGTTTGATCCTGACTCTTGGCACATGGTCAGTGGGCATTTGTGATTCTGTGATTTCCCCAATGAGAGCCTAAGAAAAGCCCTCAGCTCCAAAAAGAATAACCTATATCACCATCTCCAGCTTTGTGCCCAAATGTATAAAAATGCAGGACAGTTCAGGTATCCCTACTAAGCAGAGCACTTCATTAGCTTCTGCTGTAATTAAGACGAGGTTAAAAGGTTTTTAGAGGCTTGAAGGCTTCACTGAACACATCTAGCATCACTTTCTCTCAGCTGAGCTGTGGAGTGCAGTACTGGCTCCATCACACTCAGGGAAGTCTGTGTGCTTCACAGAGATCTCTACTATTAATGTATTGATTGTTTTCATGTTAAAAGGACAGTGGCATAACAAAATTAGTCCTAAACCATGTTGATAAGCTTTTGATTAACTCAAATCCTCCTGGAGTTTTCATGGACAGGTCTGCCAGGAGGTTGCAGAGATCCGTGGGAAGGTCTTGTGAAGATCCTTTCCAGCCTGAATTCTGTGATTCTGTGCCACTCCTGGAGGTATTTCAGAGATCATTGAATCCCAGGCTGGTTTGGGTTGGAAGGGACCTCAAAGGCCACCCAACCCCAGCACTGCATGGGCAGGGACACCAGGTGCCCACAGCCCCATCCATGGCCTTGGACACCCCCAGGGATGGGGACCCACAGCTCTGGGCAGCAGTGCCAGGGCCTCATGACCCTTTAGGTAAACAATTTCCTCTTCACATCTAACCTGCATCTCTAAATCTAAATCTTTTTCGTTTAAAACCATTTCCCCTTGTCCTGTTGCTCTCTGCCCTTGAGGTGTGGATGTGGCACTGAGGGACGCGGTGCAGTGATGGCACTCAGCAGGTCAGGTTGGTGGCTGGGCTCGATGGGTCAAACAGCAGTGAGGCTCTGGACACCACGCAAGAGAGAATAAACAGATTGGGAAATAGTCTGGGCAAATAAAGACATGAAAAACTGCACTTGCATTGAGCAAGAATAAAGGCAGAGAGAGGGACGATGGCATAGTTAAAGTGGTGGACCGGGAATATTACTGTTGTAATCAGCTCTCCAGATGGATGGGGGAGATTTTGTCAAGGTCAGGGATAGCACAGAGCTGGGTTCCAGTGAAGAAGCTGGGCTGACCCAGATCAGCCTGTTACCTGTCAGCATGGCCAGCAGAGGGACTGGAAAAGAAGGCTGCAAAGGAGCATGCGGTCTGCAAAATGAAGATCTCTTTTGTCAGCCACAGTGGAACAAAGCACAGTGCGTGGTGGAATGGCTGAAATCCCAATTGGGATAGATAGATAGATAGATAGATAGATAGATAGATAGATGATAGGTAGATAGATAGATAGATAGATAGATAGATAGATAGATGATAGGTAGATAGATAGATAGATAGATAGATAGATAAATAGATAGATAGATGGGGGAGACTAGGAGGAGACAAGTCTGGGTCATTGGGGCAAGGATGGACCAGATTTTATACCTGCAAATAAGGTTTCCCAGAGGTGGTGGTGGAGAGGGGAATGAAGGACTGAGCTGAGCTGAGCTTTCATAGAAAGCTGGGAAGGGGAAGGTGATGAATATGTCCCCACAGCAGAGAACTGAACTGCTGAGCTTTGGAAAGCCAAAGGAAAGCAAGATTTTAGGAGAAGAGCGTGGCTGATACACTTTGGAATACCAATGTGGGATAGCAGTTGAGATTGGCTGGACAGAACTTGATACAGCTTTGGAAGAACCAGATTAGGGCGACGTGAAGGGCTGGAGCTGGACAGAAGACACCAGGACAGTAGGACAGCAGGACAGACAGGAGCCTGCCAGCACCACAGGAAAGAAAAGGGAACACGGCGTGGGGGGATGAAGACACCAAACAGGACACATTGCTGAAATGTCTCCATCTATTATGTGAAAGGAGAGAATGATAAGCATGGGGAAGGGGGAAGCTGTTTTACCTGGGGCGTAGCCGGGGCTGCTGGTTGGATACATGTTTGGGTTGTAGGCTGGGGCAGCGGTGGGATATCCTGTTGGGTAACCTGCAATGAGAAAAAGGGAGAAATGAGGTTTCCAAGTGCAGTGAGAGAAGATAGGACAGCATCCACGGAAAGGAAGAAACCATCTTTGTGAGCCAAGAGGGCATCAGCACAGGTGGGAGGTGAATATTCACAGTTGGCCAGGGCAAAGGAAGGATGATGAATGCGCTCCACAGATTTACAAGTGACATCATCAATATTTAACCTTTATTCCCCTTGAAAATGAGGACAATGACCAGAATGTAGGATATGGGCACATTCAATGCGCTCTGAAGAACGCTACCAAGAAATTACATGCACTGAATGCAGCATTCAGCTGGGAGAAACCAGAGGCACAGCTTTATTTTAAAGGTTTTCCTTGGCTGCACGAGCTTGATCTGTCACTTACCAAACGCACACCACAGATCTAAGTTAGGCATTGCAGCTAGTCAACCCTGAAGGGCATTAAGTGAATAATTCCCAATGCTTCCACTCAGTGCTTCCATCAACCACAGCTTCTTGCTAAAGGACAGAAACATGCCAGCCCTTGTATTCACCCATCACTGCACAGCTGCCATCCCGAGGAGGGACCCCATTACTTGCCAAGCCACCTGGAAGGAGCACGCAAGGCAGCTCAGACCACTTGAAGACACCATGCAACACATGAGGTTTTAATGGGCACTTTAGAGAAGGTTACAGAGCATCTTCAATTTCCATCATCTTCAGTCGGATCGGTCAGAGAGAGTTCAGGGGAAACCAATGAGGCTACGTGAAGGCTTGGGGAGCTGGAATCACAGGCACCTGAAGAGCCAGACTGCAAACCACCACACATTGGGGACGTGCCTCCCCAGGGGCAGAAGACAGAACCAGCCAAATTGGAAGAGCCAAGGGGAAACCAGACTTTATGGAGAAGACTGCACTCAGTGATGCCAAAGACGACTGGGATACCAAGGCAAAAACAGAACAGTCCCAACATGCAGTCACACATGGTTCAGCAATCAACCATCCATCCTCTACTTTATTAGAAGTTCTTGATTTCCACGGAAGCCACAGATGACACTCCATATACCTCAGTCTGCTTGACTTTGCTCTGGTTTATTGCACTGCTTCCCTTTGCTGGAAGTTTTACAAATCAAGAATGGTGACACTCAAAACAGCTCTGTCCCTTTTTACATGCTTCTGCATAAATCCCTCAAACAGACTGGGACACATTCACCTTCACTTCCTCCTAGAGGGCTTGGCTTTCCATTCCATTCCACTCCATTCCATTCCATTCCATTCCATTCCATTCCATTCCATTCCATCCCATTCCATTCCACTCCATTCCATCCCATTCCACTCCATCCCATTCCACTCCATTCCATTCCATTCCACTCCATTGCATTCCGTTGCATCCCGTTCCATTCCATTCCATTCCATCCCATTCCATTCCATCCCATTCCACTCCATCCCACTCCATCCCATTCCATCCCATTCCATTCCATTCCATTCCATTCCGTCCCGTTCCATCCCATCCCATCCCATCCCATCTCATCCCATCCCATCCCATTCCACTCCATCCCACTCCATTCCACTCCATCCCATTCCATTCCACTCCATCCTATTCCACCCCATTCCATTCCATTCCATTCCATCCCACTCCACTCCACTCCACTCCACTCCACTCCACTCCACTCCACTCCACTCCATTGCATTCCACTTCCACTCCATTCCACTCCATTCTGCCCCAATCCATTTTACTCTACTCAACTTCATGCCATTACACCCCACTCTTCTTTACTCTATTCCACTCCACTCCATTCTACTCTACTCTACTCCACTCAAATCGACTCTATTCTCCCTTACTCCACTTTTCTCTACTGTATTCCACTTTATTCTTCTCCGCTCCATTCTACTCTACTCCACTCAAATCTTCTCCATTCTACTCTACTCTACTC